GAAGTTAGTAACGTTGCCTGAATGTCCTTGTAGGTAGCAACATGTTTCGCCTGAATTTATTTTTTGACCCGTCTCTTCCTTCTTGCAAGCATCTTGTCCACCTTGTTGAATGGAGGAAGAGCAGGAAAAAAAAACAAAGCAATAAAAGAGCAGTGGGGAATACACACGTCATTTTCTCTCCCTTGTTCTTTCTCGTATCCGCAGATGTTGAGACAAACTTATCTGGTCAAAAACATCGATGACATGGGTAAATTGGTGGCGTTTTGTCCCGTGACCAGAATTGTCTTACCCTCAGCAAATACGCCTCCAACATGTGCTTGGGCCATAAAAAAGACAATGGTTCGATGGAGGCGCGGCTCAAGAGCACCGTCAATCAAAAAGAAAAAGAAATGGGGAAAGGGAGGGATTCGAACCCACGACTGTCTTGAAGAACAGACTGCATGGAAAGTTTTCTTAAATTTGAGTATGCAGCGCCTTGGACCACTCGGCCACCTCTCCCTTTTTGTCGTAATACTACTCAAGGACTTGGGATGATGAGCTACTTTGGTTTGGTGCGGTTGTGAAATTTTAATGTCTTTTTGCCGAGTTTTTCTTTTTTCTTTTTTTGCTGCTTCTTCTATCTATGGAACATGATCTCTTTCGTTATTCACTCATCCTCATGCTCACCCTTCTTCATCTCCCGCTTCTTGCGCCGACGCCGGTGGTCCTCCCGGTCCCGCGCCAGCTGCTCCCGCTCAAGCGCCTCTTTGCGCTCGTCCTCCCAGTGTTCCAGCCTCCGCCGCTGCAGCAAACTCTGCCCGAGCTTTAGGCGTCGCACCAGCTCCTCGTGCAGGGTCCGGAAAGTCATCATCTGAATCGACACAGGCCCGTCCGTCTCTTCTGCAATCTCAATCTCCTCCAGAGGGTAAGGGTCGGCGTCCAAGCTCATGTCTTCCAGGCCATAGATTACTGTGCCTTGTCCTTGTCCATGGATACGTGCCTGAAGCTTCTCCAGAACCGCGTTCCGTGGCCGCAGGTGCACATCAATCTCGTGCATCATGTCGACCGTCGCTCCGGAAGCCAGACATAAGCGCGACTCGGGGGCATGGAGAGGTGACGCACCATGGCCATGTCGATACTCATCGCCGTCGTTATGGCCAAGGTGATAGACGCGCCTGACTTCATCGCCCACAAGCAGATCACCATCGGTGGGGTGCTCAGGGTCGTAAAAGAACTCGGGGATCAGAGCCTGATGAACACTCATCGTCAATCGGACGGGCGGCTGCATGTTGTCCATAAACGTCAGCACATGACCACACTTGGAAAAGACAACCTTGGTATGATCCGCAAAGTTGATCTAAAAGAGACAGGGAGGAGACATGTTAGAAGTCTTTTAGGAATGATTGAGTGACTATCGTACTGCAAGCGCTTTCACTCTTACCTGGACAATCCCGTTACTGAGGCGCATCAGGATGTGTTTCCGGCGGAAGAGGTTTGTCAGAAAGGGCATACCGCGGGTCAGGAGCTTGTCCTCGTATGACCAGCAGATCAGTCCTCGCAGTAACTGCAGCATGTAGTCCTTGTACGAAGCCTGCACCTTAAGCTTCTTTTCGAACCGTGGTGGATACTTGTTGGTACGGCAGTACACGCGCTTCAAGCTCTGCAAAAACCAGTCGTGGTCCCACTCGTCATAGAAGGCTTCTGCTGGATCGTGCTGCTGAAGATACAAGGAAGGAATCTCGCTCGACTCATTCTCGTAGCGTGGTTTGGCTTCACGGCTCGTGTCCTCGCTTCGGCTCTGGCTGTTCTGGGGGCTGTTTTGGCTGAGAGACTTCAACTCATTCCCAGTGCTGGTCCGTACCAAAGTGGCAGGGTTGACAATATTGTTTTGGTCGTCGTAAATGACCATCATCTGGGTGTCGCCGTCAACATCAATGTGTCGCTCCAAATCCTTGATGGTGGACGCCTTAAGATCAAGTGAAGATATGAGCACTGCTGGGTCCTTGGATTCGCCGTATTCCGTGGGGTCATTCTCGGCATAGGATCGTCTTTTAAAACCCTTGTCGTCATGAGGATCATGTATACTATTATTGGCCGACGAAGGCGCTGTCGTGCCCGAAGTAACGGCTCCCGTTTTTCTCGCGGGGCGCTTGTGGGCCAATCTGGGAGCCTCGATAATCTCAATATCACTAGTTTATGATATGGAAGAATGACATGTTAGAGATGGCACTATTTCATTATCATCTAGTCAAGCAAAAGCCGAGAAAGAGAACAGTAGCAACTTACATGGCATTAGGAGACAGTGAAACGATGGTTTTGTCGTTGTATCGTACCCCCATGACACCATTGGTCAGATACCAACCAACACCATAGCGAGCGTACTCGATCCAGCGGGCAATGAACACAGTTGGGATCTCAGGCATGTCCTTGAGCTGGCCACTGTAATCAGGTGCAAGCGAGAGCAGGAATCCTTCTCTGTGGGCGCGCAACATCTTGCAGAGGTGCATTTCGACTTGTTCGTACAATCCCTTGCTATCGGGATTTTTGTTCCTGAGGTTCTTGATGGCCGCCTTGCCAACCAAGGGAACTTCTTGTGGCAAATTTGGTGTGTACGCACGCTGCATCTGTTGCGCTTGTTGTACTTGAGCTTGTGCCTGCTGTGCTTGAGCCAGTTGAGCCAATTGAGCTTGTTTTTGTTGCTGAAGTTGCTGTTGCTGAAAGTCGTTCTGGTGTTGATCATGCATGGACATGGAAAGAGAGTTGGTCGTGACACAGCTAGTTGAGGGCACTTCCACATGGTCCTGTTCGTCAGAGTGGCCGCCCGAAGACATGCCTGCCATAGTAGTCTCGTTACTCTGCTTGTTGAAGTTACTCGGATGCTGTTCTGAGGGCGATCCGCCGGCTTCGGCGCCATTGGGTGACATAATTCCTGATTGACGCTGCTGCTGCTTCAGCTGCTTTTGCTGCTGCATCTTCCGACGCTGTTGGATCTGCTGCTGTCTCTTTTCTTCAAACTCCAGCCGAGTAGAACTTTGATCCATGGACGAATCTTGCGGCTCATCCTCCTGTTCCACGACGATAGGCGCCATCATTTGACGGGATCGACGACGATGAAGATGTTGAGAATGCTGACCATGGGACGATGGGAGCATCTCTTCTTCTGCTTTTGGCTCCCGCTCCTGATCGTCCATCTCTTCATCCGTTCGCAAGCTAAGGGTCGGGGGTGGGGCGTTCAGTGATCGATGGAGAATTTGCTGTTCCTTGGCCTGCTGATTTCTGCGCTGGAGCGGACTGGTGTACTGGTTACGGTAAGGGTCGTCCACTTGCGCTTCCCCGGATCGCCTTTGAGATGATGACTGTGATATGGCCCCGAAGAGTGACGGCATGGGCTGTGTTGAAGAGAAACTGCCGATGGATCGTCTTGTAGGGGATGATCCCAGACCTAGTTCAATCGGCCCATTTGCCTTGAATGGGGTCTGGTCTGGACTTGGGCTCCTGGCATTTCTGTACATGCCCTCCACCAGCAAGTCTGAAGCTCCTTGGTTATCCATGGGGTTGTACCATAATTGTTCCGTACCAGACTTTCGAAGGGATGGGGTAGACAATGACGTAAGGTTCCGAGACTGTTGCTGTTGCTGTTGCTGTGGGCGATCTTGAGAGGACGATTGCTGGTGGTATTGCTGCGACAAGGACAATGAGACTGGCTGAGAGGAATAGTGTTTCAGTGTCTGTGGCAATCCTTGGCTCCTTTGCTCTTGCGAGCCAGATTGAAGGAACGAGTGCTGTTGCGACTTGGATTGTGACCGAGGAGAGTTGTAATCATCGTTCTGAGTAAAGTTCAAAGGCTCAGAGATAAAAGCGGACGACGGGCGATGTTGCGTGATCTTTGACGTCTTGCGAGGGGAATCCAATGCTCGATTCCTGGCCAGCTCCGACAGCTCGCGATCCTGGCTATATGACCTCTGCATTGCGCTCGCGGGTCTCTCAACTCCCTGAACAGTCTGAATGACGGTACCGGTACCTGAACGCGGCGACTGTGAGCCCACGTGATGCGGCGACCCAGGCGTTGAACCAAACGCATGTTGTGGCCGAGAAAATGGGGGCGGCATGGGCGACGAGATCGACGACACTACCATATCAATATGCTGAACTGGTCCCTGGTCCATATCCGTGTCAACATCCATGTCCATGTCCATCAGGTCGTCCCTGTACAACTGTGCCCTTCCTCTCATTTGGACAGACAGTTTCTTGGATGGCAAAAGTCGCTGTGCAAGATCGCCGTCTCCCAAACCGGTTGACTTGGGAAGTGTGACTGGAGAATCCAAAGTGGAGGTAAAGTCAATGGCAAGTCCCTCAGGTTGAGATTTTCGATCGTGGGGTGAATCTTGGCTGTTGGTCTTGGGTCCAACTTCCTCCTCTGTGGTGCCCATCCGAGTCACAAGTTTGCGACGGCTAAAGATTGTCTTGCCAAACGCAGAGCCGCCAGGGATACTGGCCATATCCGATGAGCGTCTTCTTGTCATTGGTGAGGGTGAGGGTGAATGAGAAGGTGCGAGTGGGTTATCAGGCAACTGGTAAGGGTGGGCCTTTGTTGGAGTTGGGGGATTGGGTGTCGATCCATTGAGGCGTTGGGAAAATTCGAGTTTGGGCGATGAAAAGGTGTTCATGAAGCCGCTCCTTATAGGCGTTGAGGAAAGCAGGTCTGGAGACTGATGCGGTTGGGATTGAAGTTGCAGGCTAGGTGCGCCAAGTCGCGACTTGGGAACCGGAAGCCTCGAAGAAACACCGCCCAGGGCTGGAACAGAAGCAGACATGCTTGGACCGGAGAGACCCAAAGGCGAATCATGTCGACCAAATGACCCACCGGGAGGGATAATTCCTGAGCGGGACATTGACGAAAGTTGCTGCTGCTGGTTCTGTAATGGTCCTGTTCTGGATAACGAAGTTTGTCCTCGCCCTTGAGAGGTATGGATCCTGCTCTGCTGGATTGTTGATGAAGATGCTTCGTAAGTCAAAGCCGACGACTGTTCCTGATGGCGGAGAGATTGCCGTTCGTTCTGGCGAGAATGTGCCTGCGAAAACTGTTGATATGACAATCCACGCTCTGTTCCAGTGCTTCCATTATTCCGGGGCACATTGACTGTTCTGATTTCGGACACAACTCTGCTGCCTTCCATCAATTCCAACTGCACTTGCTCACCATACTCAAAAGTCTGCCGGGGTGTAGATGGTACCCTGTTGGTGTTGGTGTTCGTACGACCAAGGGATTGCCGGCCGGATGAAGAGATGTTCGATCCCTGGGTATATTTCTGGGTGTCAGTAGGTCTCTGGAAGGTGTGTTGTGACCAAGGCTGCGACGTCGGATTATTGGTTGCGTACTCCAGTACGTCAGGGGGTATATCAGAGTATCGCCTCGTCTCATCGGCATCTTCATCTCCGAAGTCTCCTGCATCGTCGTGACCCAGTGCATCCAGCCTCCGCTGCTGTTCGGCACTTTGCTTTGGTCTCTCCGGTTCCTG